TGTTTAGTCAATGTTACAAATACTAGTTTCGATATTTTAAGAGATTATGGTTATTTTTATTTTATTACTTTAACAGCAGGATATTTGTAATTTCATTTTGCTGGTTTTAAAGAGTCTATTTAAATCGGAGACAAGTAACCATTGTACTAGTTAGTTACTCAAAATCTGTTGAGTAAATAGTGTAAGTAGCAAACTAGGAACCTAAGTTCCAAACGCAGAGAAATTAAAAAACGTAGTTTTTTAAAGATCAATTAGCCATGTGTGTAGTCAATTATTTTAATGACAGAGTACAAGACGCTCACCGCAGTTGGTACGCTTATCTGTATGTTAAAGATCAATCGATCGATTACCTACAACAACTTACGTAGAGCATGTATTCAAGTAACATAAAAAATTAATAAGTTAAGTACTTACCTAGAATAAACGTTATTGAAATGGAGCTTCGTACACTGTTAAAGGTAAGTGCGATACAACTGCAAACATTAGGCTAAGGCGAAGGTGTGAAATGCTACACCGAACCAGGCATCAAGTTGTTGCGAAAAGTTTAAATGCAGAAGAAGCAACGAAAGTTATTAACTACCTACCTATTGACAACTTGCCAATGGATTTTATAAGGAAACTGTCGACAATAACTACACACTGGTACCTATCACGCCCAATCCCATCACCCTAAGCCTAGAAAGCGACAGTGATTACTTGCGTAAGCGCCAAATCGCAAGAGCACGGTCATTGACCGGCGGGCGCGGGCGAAAGTGGCGTACCTAAGTATTGTCGGTAATTAGAGCCTATGTGGCTATGTGGCCGACATCCGATGAGCACTAGATGACGGCTGCGGGCCGAGCTTGATGGAGCATAGAAAGCAGGCTTCATTGTTCCCGTGCAAGAACAATGCTTGACTCACTTCGTGGAGTTCGTGTAGGTATGATTGGTGCGCTTAAGGCTGTTTATATAAATGAGACTAGCTACCTGAAGTGTCTAAATGAAATGAAGTATAATATTAATTAATACTTTTACATACCACATTCAATAGGATAGTAACGTCTATCCAACCCAGCATGGTAATAAACGCGGAAGGAAAGAAAAACTTTAAATAAACATTTTATTGCATTATAATTTAAATAACTAACTAATGAGTTGTAGCACCCAGCCGCATACGCAACGCCCTTTTGTTTATATGTTAATAAAAACAATATTTGGTGTGTTATTTAAGTAAGTACCTACCTACCGAAGTACCTAGTTACCTTCAGCAGAGATTGTCCGACACAACTGCGCAAATTGGCATGTCAATAATCAATATTGGATATTGTATAGTAACACGCAATTGTGGGCTGATTATCACAAGACAAATAATAGGTCAATGCTGTTAATTACAGTAAAGTAATGGGAAACACGCTGCCAACCACATTATCAGATGAGAGTTCTATGGATGTAATATACAATAGGCTTGATTAAATCTCATTTCATTATAACTTAGGAAATCCCATAGGTACAATCCATACTAGGTAACTGCAATATCCTGAACTGAGCTATGATTAATTAATTATTCCAATTAATTACCTACTATTTATTTCTCCCACTGATATGTGTTGTTAACTAGATAGTCAAATAAAACAGTAGTATGGGTATACATAACTTATTAATACATTTAGAATAGGAAATCCCTATGAAATGAGAGGAAGATAACACTATAGCCTGTCTGATGAAATCTGCCCTTAGCTGCCAAATACAGTGTTACATAGAAGAATAGGTAAGTAGCTAGGACTATTTACTTAAGGATAAATTTTATTATAGATATTTAACTTCGAATAGGCAAAATATATTATTATGTTGTGAAGAATCCTGTCTAAGCACGAACAAGTGAGTGTCTATCTGATTATGTAAAATTAAAATTTGATATCAGTCTGACATTTGATATTATCTGGCAAACATAATCTTATCAGTTTGATTAAATCACTGGTAAAGCTGTAGCAAAAACAACAGTAAAGTTAGCAATTGGCTAATCTGTATTTTAACATGAAATAATTTAGACTGCAATTAGTACTTGGATACCTATAAAATAAGAAATATTAAATTGTATAAAGTAATATTAAAAGGTTACTTATCTGGAGGACACCCAATAATTAAGATGTTCGAGAAAAAAATATAGACAGCAAAACAATTATTCATAAAGTAAATAATTATAAATTAATCTGAATGCCATGTACTATTGGACTACTTAACAAAGAGTTTATAAATATAACAGTAGGTATGTATAATGATGATTTAAGTCCTGTTCGCTTTTTTCTATTTTAATTTTTTTTAGGTCAAAATGTAAATTCATGCCAAAATTAAAATTGGAAATCTGATAGAATTCAGAATAAAAACTACATATCTAGTTTCAATATCTTATATTAATTGGTTTTAATTAGAATACCTACTACTAAGATGACAATAGGAAAATTCCAAAACTTGTTTCCAAAATCAATATAGAATTAGACTAACAGGAAGTTCATCTTGCATCAACAAGTCGTTTTGAGTATCTATGATAGATACTTGCAACAACTAATGGCAAACAAACAAGTCTAAGGACATGTTGACTATAGACTAGTAGCACCTATTCCACAAATCCATTAAAGGCATCAGCCATTACAATACTACTGAGAATTCAGTGTTACAGTAACAGCACAGAATAAATAACTGCGGAGAGGAATACTTAACTAAATGCTCATTAAAATACCTTGCACTTGCTAGGGACGGACTGGTATGTCCATATTTATTATATAGAAGAACTATCCTATTTAATTAATGCTGTATTTTCTGGAATTCTTCTCTTTACATGGCCTCCGTGTGTCATTGACCACACAACTCACAAATGATTATGCAACCACATTGTTGGTGTTGTGGTTTTGTAAAGGTTAAAATATTTACCTATCTAGCTTAAAATTGTTAATTAACAACATAACTCTTCACAATGAATGAAATTGAATGAATAATGGTTTATAAAACACTACATTTATTACTTAGGTATTAATTATTGGAATCAGTTGCTTATGACAACTACCTAATTAAAACTATAAAAATAAGCAATATATGTAGGTAATAATTATTGTTTCTGTAACTAGGCCAATTCAAGGAAAAAAAATTCAATTACCCCAGTCATTTCATTATCACTAACAAGTTATAAAATATACCAGTAGTAAATGTTGTAAATAATTATGTAGGTATTTACTGAAGAAAATATCTAATTGTCAAATGAAAAATTCCACTTAACTCGTCGGGTACCGGTTTTGTAGACACAATTATAGAACAATAGGTTGCGGTCACCGGTGACCGCTTGGTGTTTGACAGTGTAATTAAAAATATGATTCAAAACACATAAGAAAATGTATAACTAGGCATGTATCTAATTAGTTCTAGATATAGAAGTGAGTTCAAAACATATTATAATCTATCGTTTTTTTATACAAGATAAGATTTTGCATTGAGCAAAAGGTCAACTGAACTCAAAAATAACAAATTTGCTTTATTTATAAAATAGAATCTGATAACTTTTGAATGCCATGAGTTAGCGGCTATTGTCATGTATTGAATATTGTTTATGTCAGTTTACATAAGCATCATTAAGTAATGTAAGTCTGTGTTGACGTCACCAACTTATCTTCAATACTATCAATTTCCTTATGAGTGTTTGGAAAACTAGATCAGTCTTAAGATAAGTAAACTGTTCAATTGCTTGTTGATTTGATGACACGGCGTGTTAAAACAGTTAGTGACTTTAGTATATCTTAAAGAATTTATCAATAGGACCATTAAATTAAAAATGTTATGTGTCTGCCTACCCCATAATACATTACAAGTGAACATTTAACAGCGTCACATTTCAAGACATTAACTTTCACTAGCAGATTCTAGACACTAGTGAGAGGCAGTACTTGTCTATGTAATTATATGAAAAAGCTTTCTTCTTGCTTCCATTGATATAATTATTTATCATCTACTTACTGAAATATTTATAATAAATACAATATATGTAGTATTTAATGAAAAGATTAGCAAGTTGATAACAAGAATTGAAATGTGCAGACATAAAAACCAATTATCTAATAATTATCTAGTTAGAAAATTTTGATAAATAATTACAACTATTGAAACACAGTGAACCACAAAATTACTTCGAAAATTCATAGGTTTATTTTATGCACAAACCACCAGCAAGAAACGAAATACAAACATCAATTTAATTTATCACTATAGCATTGCACATTACTCTCTGCCAAACCTTATAAGGACAGCTGCACATATGCAGGCAATTAATTAACTCTTTCACCAATGTAACATGTGTGCATTTCTTTATAATTAGTTGCCTGATGAAGATCCAACATGTTGACAACAAGCACTTGTGAACACAATTTACAGCTTCATATAGGAACTTGTGGGACTAAACGGGGGTTTTGCAAAGTTATATTATCATTCTTTTAAGAAATTAACTTATTATTTCCCAGAAATATGAATACATTCAATTGTATTATTGTTATTATAGTTAGTGAGTCATCCAGCTACAACATGCATGTGCATGTTTACTATGTTCATAATGATAATTATCTTATAATCTAGATAACATTGTTAGTATTGGTGAGAATGTTTAATCACAATAAATCCCTGATCTAGTGAAGCTACACAGTACATTGAATCATAAAGTTTATTCTAATTTGGTTTGTAGAACATCAATTATTACAAAAATCTCACAAATATCTGATTCACTGATAATCATGACTGTCACTGGTAGAAAGTTTAGATGCCAGTAGTGGTAATCATTTGTCATCCAGCAAATGTCATTGAATTGCTCAATATTGCTACACGAAAACAAACCTTGTGGTCTCGAATAAAAATATATTAAACTACGTCTTAGCAGAATAACATGAGCTAACCTTGTGAATCAGCTGACGACGGTCTTTGTCTCGTCGAACGGCCTAAATATATCAATGTAAACCCACTAATTAGTGATAACGAGTGGCGCTTACCTCCTCTCGGCGCTTCAGCCACCGGCCGCAGGGGCTCTCCTCGAGAATCTCGCTCTCATCCTCCGAATCCTCCCCGCTTTCCCGAGGAGACTTTCGCTCCTTGTCGATACTCCTGCCACCCGACATAACACCGATATGCAACACCAACAACGTCGAACGGAACCACCACACAGTCGATGAATACTTCACAGACGTTTTTTACAAGAAAACACTTGGTATATTTTCAAAATATACTTTTTCTCGTAACCATAATATCCAAGGCTGAATCGCGAGACGTCACTATAGTTTCTTCCCAAACCATTATTCGTTACACGGCACTCGCTATAAACCTTTTGCTTGACGAATAATATAGTTAATATATTTGTCTAGAGCAAACAATAACACACAGCGTCTCCACCGAGCTTATTCATGATAATTGAAATAAATTGTCCGCCGGCGTAGCTCTCGACGTATTTCCATCCGACACAAATATAAATCCATAGTGACACTTTTACTTTTTTTCTGACAGCCACAGATAATATATGATGTGAAATCACAGAGGATTAAAAGAAAAAAGTTGTTTAAATTTATATAATTCTATCTTTACTGAAATGTATCTAATAAGATATATCATTTCGTATATGTATTTGGAAATAAATACAAGAATATTATGAATCATAAATTACTTAGTTGACTATGTTCATTTAGTTAAAAGTGCCATCTATGATTCTAATATGAAAATTATAAAATATTGCATTATGTTTAATCGTTGATATACTTAATGTTAACAATAATACCCATAAACCACAATCTGTTTGTTATCAAAATAAAATAATAATGGTCCATGAAACACATATATAAGAGACCTCTATAATTTTGAACAAGAAACTATTACATAGGTTTCCTACTTCTGCAGCTCCATACTTCAAGTATATGCCAATAGATGTCGCTGTTACCAATTTTTTCATGAATTTGTTTTTTTAAGTGTGGGGCAAAACAAAAGTGGTGAATGTTTTTGTAATGATATATTCACTTTTCACTAGTTTCATCACAGAGGAGGTGACCCTATTTTCTAAAATCGGAAATAATTTTAAGTTCCTTCTAAAGGAACGGTGACCGCTTGGATTTCTACGGGTTAAGTCATCGTTCAGAACTATGAACCTAAAATATGTTCTCAGTGGTAGCAAGGAGTCTGGAACTGTGCCTGGTATATGGCAATAGGCTCACCCCCTATTACATGGGACTCATAACATGAATAGTGAAAAGTGGGTGTTACATTACAGTGGCATTAAGTGCCGTAATGTGCACCTCTGCCTACCCTTTCGGGGATAAAAGGCGGGATGTTATGTAATATGTTCACAATATTGACACCTTATAATTCCCTTTTACGAAACGTCAGCAGACTCTGCAACATTTAGTTTTAGAGTGATGTATTAACTACCTCCACACTCAGCATTGTCGGAGTCCGTCGTAAAATCGAGGGAACTAAGCGACTAGTGTCTGAAACTCGTTAACCTAGGACAAAGACCGCCAATACGCAGGACCTAGGAACTGGGACGTAAAGTTCGGTTCGGAACGCTCAACTGTTTTTGTAGACTAGGTTATAAGTAATTGAATTGCTGGAGGAAGAGACCGTAATTAGGGTATGTTTTCGATTAGTTTGCGGTTCTGTTTTATTAAGACTAAAGTATCTAAGTATAATTAGATAATATTTTTGCGGTTTTTTTTATTTAGTACGTACCTAAATAGGTATCTATGTAGAAACAAAAACAGGAAGCGAAATTAAATGTGTCTTCTTATTTACCTACTTACGTCAGAGTTTCATAGAGCTCTAATCCAATATCAGACAAACGAATCAAAAGTGATTGATGTCTTAGACTAGAGGCTGAGTTTAAATTGAAATAGTTAGGAAAGTATGGAAGTTGAAGCTTCATCGCTTGGACGGAAAAGTTTAATAGAGATACACCTGGGTCTCTATTTACCACTTTTCCTTCTGCCTGAATAATATATTGCTGTGCACACGGCCACACATCAATCTGTACGAATCCAGTTTATCCTGGTGTCGCGTCGCATCATCTTTCCGCACATTTAACGTTCAGTTTATACTGGTTACGTAAAGCTCGATGTGTAGCCGTGTGTACCTACCTAAATAACTAGAAAATAACTAGATAGGTATCTCAGTAGGTACGTTAGAGATCTTGAAAAGACGAACATGATAAAGTGGTCGACAGTTTCCTAAATCATCTCCGAGAATATACACACGGACTGTTATTTACAGACACATCTTCATTACAAAATACTGAATTACTGACGGACATTTAATACCAGCTGACAAGTTGTAGGACACACGTCTACCTATCCTAGATTTGAACCTAGTACTCATGTACAGTCTCACATTAGTCAAGCGTCCAGTACTTAGTGACAGACGCACGCTTTATGACAGTCGCTAAGGAGCGCTATTACCGAGTAGAATGGGCGGCCAGAGATAGAGATAAAACTTGGAGACAAATTGTTCCTTGTTTAATGTGTTACAAATTACTTGGACATTGCTTAAACGTATTTAAGCAATGTTAGTAAGTAGATACATATACTTACTGTATGTGTGTAATAAAAAAAACTGACCAAGCAATGTAGGATTGATAGCAAGCTCTCTATGTAAAAAGTCGTCCAATCGCGGGATACCGATCGGTATAAGTTGATAAAATAAATGAATTAAGTAAGGGCAGTTTACAAATACCTAATCTCTGAACTCCAAGATATTCTATCGAAAGACTCCCCCACAATCCTATCATCTTCACGATCACGCGACGTACTTGAACAAGTTGTTCAGACGATAGCTTCGCAAGAATTCGCAGACAATGATGGATGACTACTTATGTACCTAAGTAACTTAACTTTATGAAACTGCGTAGTGTAGGACTAGGAACTTTGAATTGATTAAGTTGGTGTAGGAGTGCGCGAATGTCTTATTAAGAAACAAGGCGTTTTGTATCATATTCCTAGTCCTACAAGGTTAACAATTAATTTTAACAAGTGGTGCGGCGCTGGAGTTAAATTTATAGGTGCTGTTATAATTGTTACCTTGTCTCGGTTAGTTAAACAGTCAAAGTTTCAGTTTTGAAATACTAGACTCGGGTTTAACACGAAGTTAAGGCGTTATAAAGTTGGTGTTGTTATTAAAAATGTCTATTGCCGTGTTAATGGAGTAATCAATTACTTAAATAATTTTTAGAAGTAGAATACCTATGTAAATTATTGTGATACGAATACGAATTTCACAAATAAGTAAATTGTGCATAAGTAATGAATTCCCATCTAAATAAAGTATCCAAACAAAGCGAGCGTCCTGTCCATGGCCAATATTATGGTCCTTATAAAAAGGAAGGCTTTACTCGCGACCGGTTGAATGGCCGGAAATGGAAGAGCGCCGGTTTCGCGGTCACAATCGGCCACCACGTGACCTTGGACAGTTTTTGTGTGTTGTCCTTTTATTAGTTCGCTCGGAATAACAATCCTAAAGGAACATTACCTACCCACTACCCACATACATAGCAATTTGCTACAAATGTTGTTTAGTTTCTTAGAAAAGAAATTCGTTCCATAAAATATATAACTCTTATGAGCGTTGGGTTGTAACATAATTAGATGTCTACAAATAGCGCTAACGATGATTACATAAACAAAATAATGATTAACGAACGAAATTATATCCTAAAATAGCACTAATAATAGATATTCTATTGTAATTGGATAACAATATCAACTTGAACAAAAATAGACACCCCTACTTACATAATAAGTGATAGACTTTTAACATAAAATAGAAAATAGTGCTCATGTGGACCTCCATGTTGTCGTTTCAATGAATAATGTTTTAAACAGCACCAACAGTACCCATAAAAATAAACTAAAGATAATAAAATAGTGGACATTCCAGCTACAAGTTTTCAATTAAGGACTATTTACCTTGTGTACATAAATTATGGCTCCGACATTGACAAAGCAACGAAGTTTAGTCTATGAAAAGTCGATTATTTGCCTGAGCCTTACCTTCCCCCCTCCCCCGGGCACAAAAACTGCGTTTAATCTTCCAAATGCCTGTCCTCAATTGTTTGATGTACCAAATTGTCTTTTTCTTGAAACTTTTTGAGCAAAGGTAAACCGTTAGCGTTTACTTTCAGTTTATTCGATAACATTGCTTCTACGAAGAAATAATGGTTGAGAAAACAACAGAATAAGTAAATAATAATATATCAAAGGAGAAGTTGATTGACTGGCTGATTGACTGCGACTACCAATGTGTTTTCGATACAGATTTACTTGAGTACGACTGCCTCGTTGGCCGAGTGGTCGCAAGGTCGATTGTTGGGCAAGGGGTCTCGGGTTCGATTCCCGGGTCGGGAAAAGTATTAATGGGTTTAAAAAACAATTTGGTGGGTGTGGGTATTACAAAATGTCAGTAGTAGCACAGAGTTTGGAATTGTGTCCCATATATGGCAATAGTCAACCCTATACCTACCAAATACCCGAGCGTACGGTGCGTGAAGCGTCGCGTTCCGCGCGCACCTGAAAGAGCCATCACAGGTGGGGCCCAACAGGGCCGATGCTGATTCGGAGTCACGGAGAACCTAACGGGTAACCGGGGCTCCGGCTCGACGTGCAGGAGAAGGAACGGGGTGGTTTTTACTCAGTAAGAGTCTGACATTCCCTCCCGCCTCACCCAGACGGGAGCAGTAATTCGATGATTTTCCCCCCTTAAAAAAATTGCCTAATCTACTTGTTTAAAATATCATGTAGTATCTTTACTTCGGACTTCAAACCAATGACCAAACGAAAACAATTTTCCAAAGGTGTCGTTTCGAGTACTATACTGAATTGCGTGTTGTAATATTTTACTTCTTGAAATCAGAAGATATCATAGAGTGAATCAATTTCGATATCGAAATAAAAACTAAGTTATACCTTAAGTTGCGTAGAATTATTGTATATAAGCAATGTCTTCATTGAATTCGTAGATTTTACGTGATGCGCACACAAACAAACAGACAAAAATTTCAAAAATTATGGAAATGGGTTGTGTTAGTTATCTTTTAACACGCTGGCTATTTTTTTGTCAATTTCTTCAATGTACAAAAATTACTTTTCTACAGATTTATTATAAGTATAGATAATGTTTTATTGCTTCAGTGGGTGGCCTAAGTACCTAATGACTAATGATGAGCCATTGTAGTCGTTACGAAAACCATTTCTATAATTTATTTGAAGTTTACTTTTTGTGAGCCTGATCTAGATATAGTCCCAAGTGCGGTCGAGGCCGCTACTTATTATAATCGAGATAAAATGTAGTTGTAGTAGAAGCCAGATATATGTATGTATATACCATCATTTTAGGCAATAGCGAATTAGTGATAATAAATTAGAACGCAATGATATGGTAAAATATACGAAGCTAATAGCATAATAATAAAACAAGCGAACTAGTCGCCGTAT